CACGCCTGTAATCCCAGCACTTTGGGAGGCCAAGGTGGGCAGATCATGAGGTCAGGAGTTCGAGACCAGCCTGACCAACATGGTGAAACCCCTCTCTCTACTAAAAACACAAAAATTAGCTGAGTGTGATGGCAGGCACATGTAATCCCAGCTACTTGGGAGGCTGAGGCAGGACAATTGCTTGAACCGGGGAGGCCGAGGTTGCAGTGAGCTGAGATCATGCCATTGCACTCCAGCCTAGGTGACACAGTGAGACTCCATCTCAAAAACAAAGAAAAAAAAGAATCTGCTTCACTGAAGGCAATGAGACTAACAAAAGTTCACGAAGGGTCTATATGGGATATGGAGAAACTTCTGATGACCTAGATTGAAGACCAGGCAACAGAAGTGTATCTCTCTTAGCATGATAACAATCATGGCCAAAACAAAGTTTGTTTGTGATGTTGAGAGAAAAGTCTGGCTGGGCATGGTAGTGCATGGCTGTGGCCCCTACTACTCAGGAGGCAGAGATGGGAGGATTGCTAGAGCCCAGAAGTCAAAGCTGAAGTGGGCTCATGATCATGCCACTGCACTGCAGCCTGTGTGACAGAGTGAGACTCTGTGAAAGAAAGAAGGAAAGAAAGAAGAAAAGAAAGAAAGAGAGAGAGAGAAAGAAAGAAAGAAGAAAGAAGAAAGAAGAAAGGAGAGGAGGGAGGGATGGGGAGGAGGGGAGGAAGGAGGAAGGAAGGAAGGAAGCAGGGAGGATGGGAGGAAGGAGAAAGAAAGAAAGAGAGAGAGAGAAAGAAAGACGGAGAAAGAGAGAAGGAAGGAAGGAGGAAGAAAGAGAGAGAAAGAGAGAAAAGAAAGAGAGAGAGAAAGAAGGAAGGGAGGGACGGAGGAAGGAAAAAGAGAGAAAGGAAAGGAGAAAGGAGGGAGGGAGCAAAAGAAAAGAAAGAAAGAAAAGGCTAAACCTGACTAGGATGTTGAATTTACTGCTAGCTCTAGGTGGTTTAAATGATTCAAGAATCATGGCCATGGCCCGGCGCAAAGGCTAACGCCTATGATCCCAGCACGGAGGCTGAAGCGGGCAGATCACCTGAGGTCAGGAGTCTGAGACCAGCCTGGCCAACATGGTGAAACCCTGTCTCTACTAAAAATACACACAAAAAAATTAGCCAGGCATGGTGGTGCGTGCCTGTAATCCCAGCTACTTGGGAAGTTGAGGCAGAAGAATAGCTTGAACCCAGGAGGCGGAGGTTGCAGTGAGCCGAGATCGCACCACTGCACTCCAGTCTGGGCAACAAGAGTGAAATCTCTGTCTCAAAAAAATAAAAAACAATCGTTATTCAGCCTGTCACGGTGGCTCGCACCTGTAATCCTAACACTTTGGGAGTCTGGGGTGGGAGAATTGCCTGAGCCCAGGAGTTTGAAACCAGTCTGAGAAAGATGGCAAGACCCCCATCTTAAAAATAAATCATTATGCATTATATAATGTGAATGTGAGAGGGGAGTATGCAAGTGCTGATACGAAGGCAGCTGAAGAATTTTGGGAAACTCTAGATAAGGTGAGTGTGGAGGAAAATTATTTGCCTGGAAAAATCTTCTTGAGTTTTATAGTTTCAGGTCTTATTAATACATTTAGGTCTATGATTCATTTTGGGTAAGTTTTTGTATGTGGTGTTAGGTAAGAGTCTAACTTCATTGTTTTGCATGTAGATATCCAGTTTTCCTAGTACCATTTGTTGAAAAAACCTCTTCTTTCTCCCATTAAATGGCCTTGGCACCTTTGTCAAAAATCATTTGACCATATATATAAAGGTTTATTTCTGGGCTCTCTATTCTATTTCATTTTTCTACATGTTTGTCTTTATGCAAGTATGACACTGTTTTGATTACTGTGGCTTTGTAGTAAGTTTTGAAATCAAGAAGTGTGAGTCCTCCAGCTTTATTCTTGTTTTTGAAGATTGTTTTGGCTATTTGGGGTCCTTTGAGATTCCATACAAATTTTAGAATGGATTTTTTTTTCTATTTCTGCAAAAAAACCTCCTGGAGATTTTGATAGGAATTGTATTGAATCTGTAGATTGCTTATATTTATGTCTTATTTAATTTATTTCAGCAATGTTCTATAGTTGTCATTGTACACATCTTTCACCCCCTTGGCTACGTTAATTCCTAATTCTTTTGATGCTTTTGTAAATTGAATCATTTTCTTAATTTCCTTTTCAGATTGTTCATTGTTAATATATAGAAATGTAACTGATGTAATTGATATAACTTTGTATCCTGCTACTTTGCTAAACTCATGTATTAGTTCTAACAGTGTTTTGCGGAATCTTTAGGCTTTTCTACATTTAAGATCATATCATCTGTGAACAGAGATCATTTTACTCCTTCCTTTTTAATGTGGATGCCTTTGCTTTCTTTTTCTTGCCTAATTCTTCTAGGTAGAACTTCCAGTACTATTTTAAATAGACGTGGTGAAAGCAGGCATATTTGTCTTGTTCTTAATGTTGGAGTAAAATCTTTCATTATTTTATCATTGTGTATGATGTTGGCTGTGGGTATTTCATATGTGGCTTTTGGCTTTTATTATGTTGAAGCAGTCTTCTCCTATTCCTGGTTTGTTGAGTGTTTTTTATTATGAAACTGTGGTAGTTTGTCAAATGCTCTTCCTGAATCAATCGAGATGATCTGATATAGGAGTATTGGTTGACAGTTTTCTCTTTCAGAACTTTGAATTTATTGGCCCACAGCCTCTGGCCTCCAAAGTTTTTGTCTAATCCAATCTGCCTTTGAATCCCTCTGGTGCATTTTAAATTTTGGTTATTGTACTAATCAATACTATAAAAAGTTATTGTGCTTTCTGGTTTCTTTCTAGATTTTCCATATCTCTATTTAGATATTCTCCTTTTACTTGTACTTTTTTTTTTTCACTCCCCACATCTTCCTTTAGTTCTCTGAGCATCTCTAAGATAATTGTTTTAATGTATTTGTCTAGTAGGTCTGCCATGAGGACTTTTAGAGTTTCTGTTGACTTTTTTCCTTTGAATGTGCCATATTTTTTCTTTTATTTGTATGCCTTGTGATTTTTTGGTTGAAAACTAGACATTTGAGTTTAATGATGTGATAACTCTAGAAACCAGGTTCTCCCCTTTCCTCAGGGTTTACTTTATTTTGTTACTGTTTTTTGTTATTGTTGTTGTTTGTTTTTTATTGTTATAGGCCATCTCTGTACCAAGGACACTTTGCCATCCAAGCCTTCCCCTAGAAGTTGCAAGCCTTCAATAGACTCCATGGCTTTAAAATAGTTACAGATTCTGCCAGTACAAGTTTTGGTTAGGTAAGGAAACAGAATCCTAGAGCTTCCTACTCTGCCATCTTCCCAGAATACTTTCCTGGCTAATTATTTCTAAGGGAATAATGTAAGCCCCCAAAGACACCTGGGACAAGTCTTTCTCTAGAAACTTGATATATTTTCTGCTTTCTTTCCCTGCTTTTTCTTTTCTACTTAGTTCCACTCCCATCCCCCATCCCACCACCTAATATCCATCAGACTCCATATGTTCCTCTTCTCCTCCCAACCCCACGTTCAAATACTTTTTCTTTTTTTTTTTCTTTTTTTTTTTTTTTCTGAGACAGAGTTTCACTCTGTTGCCCAGGCTAGAGTGCAGTGGTGCAATCTCGGCTCACCGCAACCTCTGCCTTCCATGTTCAAGCGATTCTTCTGCTTCAGCCTCCCGAGTAGCTGGGACTACAGGCACCTGCCACCACACCTGGCTAATTTCTGTATTTTTAGTACAGACGGGATTTCACCATGGCTGTACTAAACAGCCATGGCTCTTCTCGAACTCCTGACCTCAGGTGATCGGCCTGCCTCGGCCTCCCAATCAAATTATTTATCCAAAGCCTTACTTGATGGGTCATATAATGAACTAAAATTTGGAAAACATTCACATTTGTGGAATGCTTCACAGTTTTCAAGGTGTCTACATTATCTCATTGGATCCTCTTTTCAGCCCAGTGTGGTTGGTAGATGAGATAGCAGTGTTCAGTTTATGTGACTTGTCCAAGATCAGAGAGAAAGTAACAAAGCCTAAACTGGAATCCAGATCTCCTGACTCCCTATTCACTTATCTTTCCAGTTGCCCTTGTCTCTACAAATTACCAAAAAGAAATTGGTTCCTAGAAATAAGGATAAATCAATGTAGGGGTGTGCCATCTCCTATCCCACTCTTCTACACCCATCACATCAAAACCAAACAACATTTATTGCAGGGCCCATAATAACCTACTTTCTTCTGCAGAGCCTCTAAGCTCCACATTATCCAGGAAGCAATAAATTGTGACTGTTGAAGTCAAAGTAAAACAGTGATGAATCTCTAACTTTAAAGCATTCTATTCTGGAACAAGGATTGCAGTTTGAGGCACACACACTAACCAGTTGATCTTCAGTGTGTCTGAGGAACAGAAAGAAGGTTGGGAGTTTTATTAGAGAAATGTTCTATATTGTTTTGAAAGAAAGTTTATTGGCACTAAAGAAGCATTTGGAAAGAAGGGAAAAAAAAAGAAAAAAGGAAGCATTTGGGAGCTGGCAAACTCTGATTGGTGAGTGATGGTGGTAGGCAAAACTATTCTTAAAGTCATGTTTCAGCAGCTACTAAACTGCTGTTGGGGTTACAGCGGGTCATTTTAGCAGCTGGGTTTGTGAAAAATTTAATTCATGGAGCAGATGCTGTGCCCCAAGTGCTTCTTCCTTCCTGGCCCCTAGACTCTGATTTAGTTGGGTATGACAAGAATGACCCAGTATGCATGATCAGCTTTCACATAACCTTGTAAATTCTAGTTGATCCAAGGAAAAGCCAACTGAGTAAGGAGAATAAAAGAACTGCAGCGTCATAGTTTTTGAGTCCACGTAAGTACAGCCCTTCAACTGAAATCCGAAAATTATGAGACCAATATTCCCGCAAAAAAGGGTCCCAACGAGATTTTACTAATAAGGTGGGCTGGGCCTTGGCAATCTGCCCATCAAGAGTTTAACTTCTCCACCAATTTCTCCTTAACTCACCCGGAATTTCTGAAAGAAGCTGAATTAGACCCTTCTTTGGCAGGACTTGTTTTTCTAGGTTAACTCAACTAGACTTAGTTTTATTCCATCTCTTGGGATTCATTCTGAATTAAATTCTCATTAAACTCGCCCATGGAGTGTCCGTGATGCAACCACTTCCCTTCCAATCCCTTTTAACCTCCATGTCAACATCAATTCCAATTCTAAGGAATGGGGAGAAATATAGAACAGACCACAAGACTTCTGGCAACCAGAATGAGTATGAAGGCGTGATGTTTGCTTGGCTGAAAGCAAAGAGATAAGATGGGGAAGCCAGCTGCTGGGAGTTACTGGGATCTTTAAAAAGTCTCACAGCAACACGACTTGCCTCTGCTATCCAAGGACAGGAGAGACCCTCTGCTCTGCCTAGCCTTAGAGGGATAGTCACTTGCACTGTAAGTAGGAGGAAACAATTTTCTTTTCTTCTGCCGCCTACAGATATTCTATTTTCTTCTTTAAGTTTTAGTTTTATATGAACTGGGTTGCTAGAGAGCCCCTCTGTAAAATAAAGGATACCCTCTACTTTTGCTTCTTTTGTAAAACCTCTCTTGGTCTGCTTACAGCTGTCTTTCAGTGGATGAAACGTTTCTTCTTTTCACTGTGGGTCTGTAAGAACCTTCCTGCCTGGGAGATGTGGTGAAGTTTGAAATAATTTTGTAGTATGATTGGCTGTTTTCCTGTTCTTGTCTTTGAAGTTATAGACAAGTAAGCAGCAAATCTCCACTGCTGCAAGGTGAAAAAGGAAGTTCCTTGGCCTGGGCTCTTTGTGGGAAAGCATATGAGTTTAGATGGCAACTTTAATCTGCTTCCAGAATGAGTGAAGCTGCTGCTACTTTGGAAAGTTTAAAGAACTTAACAGTTTTTCCTCCTTTCTTGGAAAGTTAAACAGATTTTTTTGATTCACTTTTGTGGGTCAGAGTAGTTAAGAAGAGTTCAGTGAAGAAAGTAGTTGATCTTTTGCTAACTAGTGGCTTCTTTTTTTTTTTTTTCTTGAGACAGAGTCTCACTTTGTCGCCCAGGCTGGAGTGCAGTGGCGCAATCTCGGCTCACTGCAAGCTCCACCTCTGGGGTTCACGCCATTCTCCTGCCTCAGCCTCCCTGAGTAGCTGGGACTACAGGCAACCGCCACCACGCCCAACTAATTTTTTTTGTATTTTTAGTAGAGACGGGGTTTCACCTGTGTTAGCCAGGATGGTCTTGATCTCCTGACCTCGTGATCTGCCCACCTCAGCCTCCCAAGGTGCTGGGATTACAGGCGTGAGCCACCGCGCCCGGCCTCTTTCTCTTTACTCTGTGCATTTTCCATTGCCTAGCAGTAAATAAATAAATAAATATATGTATATGTATATCTAAGAAAGAAGTATTCCTAAATGTCAACCCTGACCCCAAAGTCACACTTTAGTGTTTCTTTAAATGTCTTCAGAAAGTTGCTTGTAGTTTCAGATTTCTAATAACTCTTACAGAGCAGAATTTAGGATTTGGGGATCAGTCTGCACATGTAGCATTTGTTCATTTCATATTTATTAGAGATGAAACAGATGACCAAAATTCCATTTATTGCAGACTCTCCTTTTCCTTTGTAAATGCTTGACTTTTCTGAATGGATATCCATTTTCACACATTGTAATGTCCATTAAAGGAAGCTCAGGTTAATGTTTTCCATTGTGGGTGAGTTTGCTCTGCTTCAGTGATATGGAACATTTTGTTCTGCTGTTTCCATTGGAGGAGATTAAAGAGGCTAAATGGGATGGCATATTGAAGTCATTTTTGGTTTTCTTTTTTAAATTTTTATTTTATTTTATTTTATTTTTGTTTTTATTTTTATTATTTTTGAGACGGAGTCTTACTCTGTCACCCAGGCTGGAGTGCAATGGCATGATCTTGGCTCACTGCAACCTCTGCCTCGTGAGTTCAAACGATTCTCTCACCTCAGCCTCCTGAGTAGCTGGGACCACAGGCACATGCCACCACGCCTGGCTAATTTTTGTATTTTTAGTAGAGACATGGTTCCACTACGTTGGCCAGGCTAGTCTCGAACTCCTAGCCTCAGGTGATCTGTCCACCTCAGCCTCCCAAAGTGCTGGGATTACAAGCATGAGCCAGCGCACCCAGCCAGTCATTTTGGGTTTCCTGTGGTTATTTTGGATGCCTTACTGGGACCCACTCAAAAAACAAACAAACAACAAAGCAAAACAAAACGAAAAACACTTTCATAAATGTCTGTCTCAAAACCTTTTCTACTTTCTCCAAATAGAACTAATGCATACACAGTCTTAAGATTTGCTCAGCTATACCTCCTTGGTTCTGACTTAATCCTCTTCTGCAGAAAATTTCATCTCACATCAAAGCCTCTTCCCTCCTTCTGCTGTAAAGTTGTTGAGAGCTGTCACAGACTATCAGCTCAGCTTCAGCTATGCTTAATGAGTCCTTGTGCACAATGCACCCCAGGTAAAGGAATTCAGAAATCAAAAGACATGATTACTGAGAAGGAGAAAATGCAGAGAAGTGATTTCTGGAGAGCATAAACAAAATCAATATTGTACCCACTAAGGTCTTTGTTGAGTAATGATAGATAAAACAGCCTAAAGGGAATGATGTCAGGAGATCTAAAACAATCATTTAGCATCGCCTATCAGCCTTGTATTCCTTGTACACTGTGGGAATAAACAGCTAGGAACCCTGGACTCTGACCCCTGTTTCAGTGGAACAGGGTGACAGATTTCACACTGACAAACAGCTGCCTGAAGGAGTTTTGTCCTTTTGTCCGTTGAGAAGGGACACAGCCTCAAGTCTTCTCTCAAATTCTAACTCAGGGCCCTTCAGACAGTCTGAGCCTGCTATATGGTTCTTGGTCTCAAAGAAGAGTTCTGAAGCAGGCTGTCTACATAAGATTCAAACCACCCATTAAAATATTATTCAATTTGGCATCTGTTAGGCATAACAATTAGACTAGCCAATGCAGTCACAATACTGAAATCGGTATGTGTATGTAGATACAGCCCAAGAGATTAAATAATTTTAGTGTTGTTAAGAAAAAATTATTCTGATTTTTTTTTATGCAAGGACAATTTTAATCCTGCATTTTCCTATAGTAACATCCACTGCTGGCTATCTATGGATTGAAACTGCGTTTGCTAAGAACTGTGGAGCACATGATGACACAGGCACACAGACATCTTCCAGCACCAACACAATACATACATAACACATACAAGATAGTCTCAATGGATAAATGTGCTTCAAAAGTAATTCTATTTAGTAAAATTCATAGTTAATGCAGAATTTCATGTTTTAATTTTACATCTTTCGAATACTTTACATTTTTCTAATACTTTATTTTTTTTTTTTTTTAAACTCCTCATTCAAGATTATAATTTGCATGGCAATAAATAATGGTTTCATGGGCTCTAAGTTTCTTAGAAGTGTTCACAGCAATTTAGAACACCACGAGTCTTCCTTCCAATTTGCAGCATCTGATTTAAAGTTTAAATTCATCTAACACACCATTAAAACTCTCATTTTCTCTTGTGAGAAGAGATGTTTCAATTGCTATTTCCAGGACTATATATTGAGCATGGGTGTACAGTATTTTTAAATGGTTAGCAGAATTTTACTCACATAATTTATAGCCAGAATAAGAAACTCTAGCCTATCTGAATGACCTTCCACTCAGAACAATGATGATGATTAATGTCTAAAATGTATCTGGGGTGCCCCCCCTTGACATTACCAGATGTTTCCAAGTAATCTTAGAAAATACGATTATTTAGGCCGGGTGCAGTGGCTCAGGCCTGTAATCCCAGCACTTTGGGAGGCCAAGGCGGGCGGATCATAAGGTCAGGAGATCGAGACCATCCTGGCTAACTCGGTGAAACCCCGTCTCTACTAAAAATACAAAAAAATACCGGAGCGTGGGTGGCCCGGGCGCCTGTAGTCCCAGCCTACTGTCGGAGCTGAGGCAGGAGAATGGCGGGAACCCGGGAGGCTCTGCCAGTGGAGCGAGATCACCGGTGGTCCACTTGCACTTCCAGCCGGGCGACGAGCGAAGACTCCACGTCTCAAAAAAAAAAAAAAGAAAAAATACCATTATTTTAAACCATAAGCGTAATATCTACACCAATGTACCATCACTTTTAACATTCGTCCAAGTGTTCATTTATAACAATCGCATTTCGTTAAAATACTATGGGAGAAATTTCATCCATAAGTTTTACCAAGACTGGTTATTCTGTTATGTCTCAAATGCTTCTAAGTCCAAAAAGAACGGCTACTGGTTCAACCCAGGTGCACATACCATGGTTAAGGCTTGCTAGTAAGCGTTACCAACAATAACCTCCGCAGAAGAGGCTCGAACAACCCTACCAACAGATGTAATTTGTGCCCCAAGGGAGGTACTTAACAACAAAGCAAGATTCAACCACACATCACTAGATTCACACGATATCCAAAACTATCACAGAAAGCAAGCAAGGAGACCTATACCCGGTAGGAAGCCAATTCAAATTCTTAAAACCCCTTACTCAGCTTTAGATCAGTAGACATAATCAACAAAAAGGCCCCCATAAAGTCTACCAGGTTTTCAAAAAATTATTAGTTAAAGGAGAAGAGAAAGTCCAGGCTGGCCAAAACCAGTGGCTCCATGCTGTAATCCACACTCTGGGCAGGCCAAGGTGGGCAAATCACGCAGTTTTCAGAGATTTAGACCAGCCTGGCAAACATGGGAACCCCTGCTCTACTCAAAACTACAAAACTTAGCTGGCCATGGTGGCGGGCACCTGTAATCCCAGCACTCAGGAGACTGAGCAGGAGAAGGCTCAACGCCAGGAGGCGATGTTGCAGTGAGCTAGACGCGCCACTCGGCACTCCAGCACGGGCCGACCAATAGAGACTCTTCCTCAATAAAAAAAAAAAAAAAAAAGAAGAAGTGAAGAGGAAAGTCAGTACCAATCCCAATTGTTTTTTTTTTTTAGACGGAGTCTCCACTCTGCACCAGCGGAGGCAGGTGGCCGACTTGCTCTTGCAACCTCCGCCTCCCAGGCTCCAGCAATTCTCATGCCTCAGCCTCCTGAGTAGCTGGGACTACAGGTGCACACCACCATGCCTGGCTAAATTTTGAATTTTTTTTAGTAGAGTCGGGGTGTCACCATATTGGCTAGGCTGGTCTCCAACTCCTGACCTCATGATCTGCCCACCCTGGCCTCCCAACGTGCTGGGATTACAGGTGTGAGCCACCGCGCCTAGCAAATGACCAAAATTTTTTATTTGACTAAATTCTATTAATGCATGAGCATGACAGTCTCCCTGTTTATTTGACTTTGGCAATTAAAAAAACAAGCAGCCTTGTACAGAACAGTGAAAATGCCGAGGACAAGGGCAGTCTGCAGTTTTACCGTAGAATATATATATATACACACACACACTATAGTAAATATATATATATTCTACTGTAAATATATGTATATATAGGCCTCCCTTTGGCCATATCAACTCCCAGTTCAGGCCATTAAATACAGACAAATTTTCAAATTCACGTCTTTACTTCTCCAAGATCTTCGATGCTGTCATCATCTACCTCTGGCCATTTTTCGGAATGACATCAATTATGTCATCTGTAAAGTCTCCCTGAATGATAATTTCATCCTCCCCATTACTGAGGCAGCACAGGAGAATTCTTGAGCAAAAAATCTTTGTGCTTCTTTAAGATCAATTTCAAAAATTGCAAGGCCACACACTCTTGTCACATATTTCTTCTTTGCCCTGGGAATTTGGGCTATAGTAACCTTTTGTGGCACGGTCTTTTTTTGTTTTATTTGGCGTCTTCCACCTCTCTTCTGGTTTTTCTTCTCTTCTTCTTCCCCTGCTGTTCCTTGACCCTCACTAATTCCAGCTTCTTGTTTGGGTGAATTTTCTACAGTAAGTTTTGCAAGTTCCTTTGGAAAATTCTTCTCTCACCATTGTCTACAATGAGCAACATCAGGCATATATATTCACAGTACTCTACTCTGTTGATAATGAACAGACTCCACAATAAAGGACTTAAAGTGGGTAATCGGCATCTAACTTAGCACTGTTCCTTGGGTCTCCTTTGCAATCAGTCCCACTGGATTCAGAAATCTCAGCTCACTGCAACCTCTGCCTCTGGGCTCAAGCAATCCTCCCACCTCCGCCTCCTAGGACCACAGGCACATGCCATCATGCCTGACTAATTTTTTGTATTTTTGGTAGAGATGGGGTTTCGCCATGTTGCCCAGGCCGGTCTTGAACTCCTGACCTCAAGTGATCTGCCCACCTCGGCCTCCCAAAGTGCTGGGATTACAGGCATGAGCCCCTGCGCCAGGCCTTCATCTTTTATATTTTTAAAAATTGCAGATAAACGTGAAACTCCCTTTACTGATTAACTCCAATTCCCACAACTCTTCTATTTATTTCTTTTCCTGTGTACTTTTCTCCTCTCTCCTTTCCTTTTCTGCCTGTTTTGTACTCCTGTCTTTAATTTAAAAATCTAGTAAGTTTAACATTTTATGTTTTTAGGTTTTTTTGTTTTAGTTTGAGTTGTCATTATTATTTTTTTTCTTTTTTGGTTTTTTTATTTTGAGACAGGGTCTCACTCTATCACCCAGGCTGGAGTGCAGTGGCACAATCATGGCTCGCTGCAACCTCAACCTCCTGAGCTCAGGCAATTCTCCCACATCAGCCTCCTGAGTAACTGGGACCACAGGCGTGCACCACCACGACTGACTAATTTTTAAATAATTTGTAGGGACGCGGTCTCCCTGTGTTGCCCAGGCTGGTCTCAAACTCCTGGACTCAAGCGATCCTCCCACCTTGGCCTCCCAAAGTGCTGGGAGTACAGGTGTGAGCCACTGCACTTGGCCATCCTTTGTTTGTTTGTTTTTTTAATTGCAAAGTAATAAAAAAGTAAATAAGACACGCTTATTTTTAAAATTCAAATACAGAAGTACATAAAGGAAAACATGCATGTTTCTACTTCACTCTCCATCCTCAATCCCACTCCTAAGGAGCAATCATCACTTAAATGTTTATCCTTCCAGACTTTTTTCTCTGCATATGCAAACATGTACATATTTGAATATGTTTTGATATTTACAGGATCATACTTTTTATAATTTTTTTTTTTTTGAGACAGAGTCTCACTCTGTTGCCCAGGCTGGAATGCAATGGCACAATCTCGGCTCACTACAACCTCCACCTCCCGGGTTCAAGTGATTCTCCTGCCTCAGCCTCCTGAGTAGCTGGAATTACAGGCGCTCACCACCACGCTCGGCTAATTTTTGTATTTTAGTAGAGACAGAGTTTCACCGTGTTAGCCAGGCTGGTCTTGAACTCCTGACCTCGTGATCCACCCGCCTCGGCCTCCCAAAGTGCTGGGATTATAGGCCTGAGCCACCGCGCCCAGCCACTTTTTACAATCTTTAATTTGTTTCAGTATTACATTTTTAAAATATGCTCTGAACCAGTACCAGTCTAGAATGATGTGCCCCTTTCAACAAGACACTTTCCCCACTGTAGATCTGCACTACTACTACCCAAACTGAAAGAAATCAACAACCTCCCCTGCCCTTATGTGTCTGTGATTGTGGATGAGCCACATGCAGGTTATAGGAATATCATATACAAACATTCTGAGGTTTTTCAGGGCCAGAGAACCCATTATGGACCCAGAGAAAGCTATGGACCCTCTCCCTGAAAAATCACATATGTGCAACGTTTCGCAGACGATTTCGAGGTCAAGAATTCCCTCTTGCTATCATTTCCCTTTCTTCCCAAGTATATGCTTTGTTTCAAAAGCGTGATCAAAGGAAAGCCTGCCTCCATCCGCACTAACCTGAATGAGTCTGCTGAAGTCTGCAGCTGCTCCTCCATGCTGCGGTTCAGCTGATACTTTTTGATTTCTGTTCACTCTCCTTCAAAGAGATGAGCCTCACCCAGATCCCCCAGGTCTCTGGCCATTGGTGCTTGGCAGGGCTGGTAGAAGCCACTATTATGACTAACTGAGCCCAGTCACCTCCCCTCCAATGCCAGTTTGCTGGCTACCCAGACACTCTGGCTACCTTGACTAGTGTCACTAGCAAAGCCCAGGGCAGGCTGTCAGAGTTGTGCCTCACGAACACCTAGTGTGGTCAGCAGCTGACACTGTTCACTGTCTTCAAGAAGACTGCTTAAACAAACAAACAAAAAATAGTAAAACAATGCTAAAATAAAAATTAAAAGGGAAGCCAGGTGCAGTGGTGCCCCTATAGTCCCAGCTACTTGAGTGGCTGAAGCAGGAGGATTACCTAAGGCCAGGAGTTTCAGGCCAGCCTGGGCAACACAGTGAGCCCACATCTCAAAAACGTTAAAAAGGCCGAGAGCAGTGGCTCATGCCTGTAATCCCAGCACTTTGGGAGGCTGGGGCGGGTGGATCACTTGAGATCAGGAGTTTGAGACCAGCCTGGCCAACATGGTGAAACCCGATCTCTACTAAAAGTACAAAATTAGACGGGCATGGTGGTGGTGCATGCCTGTAATCCCAGCTACTCAGGAGGCTGAGGTGGGAGAATCGCTTGAACCCAGGAGGTGGAGGTGCCTTTGCCTCTTCTTCCATTCTCATCTCTCGCTACACCTCCGTCTCAATAGGTACTTAGTCATGCCACATGACTGGGAGACTGTAGTCCTTTCCTTTGCTGTGGGGAACAAGGCCTTAACCCTGAAGGATTAAGATACAATGCTATCCCCAGTGCTGTCGCTAAGGGGATTCCCTCAGTGCATACTCAGGACTCTGAGTGTCCCTACTCAGGAATGATCTCGACACTGTTGTCTCCTATATTCCCTCAAGCAGAGATCTTACATATTAACATACATGTGTGCACACACATCAACAAGACTCCTGGGTTACATCAACCAATTGCCCTGGACCCATACAAACCCTCATTGCTGTTACCACTCATGAGGGACACACTCACTGCTATGAATACAATTGCAGCCCCAGAGTGGAAGAGGGAAGTGAATCAGGCGCCGGGCAGTGGGCTGCTGGGCCCGGCTTGCTGAGGTAGAGGCAGCGCCAAGAAGAGGCCTTTGCCACTGGTAGGGATTGGGATGTCGAAGAACAGCGTCGTCGGCCCGGTTCCGGAAGGTGGACGTGGATGAATATGACGAGAACAAGTTCGTGGACGAAGAAGATGGGGGCGACGGCCAGACCGGGCCCGACGAGGGCGAGGTGGACTCCCACCTGAGGCAAGGAAATGTGACAGCTGCCCTACAGGCAGCTCTGAAGAACCTCCCCATCAACACCAAGAGTCAGGCAGTGAAGGCCCGGGCAGGCAGCATTGTCTTGAAGGTGCTCATCTCTTTTAAAGCTAATGATATCGAAAAGACAGTTCCATCTCCAGACAAGAATGGTGTGGATCTCCTAATGAAGTGTACTTATAAAGGATTTGAGAGCCCCTCTGACAATAGCAGTGCTGTGTTACTGCAGTGGCAGGAAAAGGCACTTGCTGCTGGAGGAGTAGGGTCCATTGTTCATGTCTTGACTGCAAGAGAAACCGTGTAGATTGGCAGGAAGTGGAAATCTGCCTCGGGAGTGGGAATTGCTGGTACAAAGACCAAAACAACCAAATGCCACCGCTGCCCTGTGGGTAGCATCTGTTTCTCTCAGTTTTGCCTTCTTGCTTTTTCGTATCTGTAAAGAAGAAAATTACATATCAGTTTTCCTTTAATGAAAATTGGGATAATATAGAAGAAATTGTGTTAAAATATAAATGTTTCATCCTTTCAAAACCATTTCAGTGATGTTTATACCAGTCTGTATATAGTATAATTTACATTCAAGTTTAATTGTGCAATTTTTAACCCCTATTGGCTGGTTTTTTGTTTTGTTTTGTGTTATTTTTACCTAATACTGAGAGATTCGGTCAGAATTTGAGGCCAGTTTCCTAGCTCACTGCTAGTCGGGAAATGATATTTATAAAAAATATGAGAGACTGGCAGTTATTAACATTGCAAAACTGAGGCCAGGCGCAGTGGCTCAAGCCTGTAATCCCAGCACTTTGGGAGGCCGATACGGGCGGATCACGAGGTCAGGAGATCAAGACCATCCTGGTTAACACAGTGAAACCCCGTCTCTACTAAAAAATACAAAAAACTAGCTGGGCGAGGTGGCGGGCGCCTGTAGTCCCAGCTACACGGGAGGCTGAGGCAGGAGAATGGCCTAAACCCGGGAGGCGGAGCTTGCATTGAGCTGAGATCCGGCCACTGCACTCCAGCCTGGGCGACAGAGCCAGACTCCGTCTCCAAAAAAAAAAAAAAAAATTGCAAAACTGGACCATTTCCCTTATTTAAACAAAATATGTTTTTGGAATAAGTGGTGGGTGAATACCACTACCGAGTTCTAGCTTTGTTTTTCTTGCCTCCTGATTAACTGTACTGTGGGTTTAAGTGTGCTACTTTCTCTCAGCATCCAATAATCATGGCCTCTCAATTGATTTGTAATCGCCCAGGGTTCAGAGCAAGAAGTCTTGCTCTATACAAATGTATCCATAAAATATCAGAGCTTGTTTGGCATGAACATCAAACTTTTGTTCTAATATTATGGCTCTGTTTGGGAAAAACTGTAAATCAGAAAGAATGATTTGCAGAAGGAAAGAAAAACTATGGTGTAATTCAAACTCTGGGCAGCCTCTGAATGAAATGCTACTTTCTTTAGAAATATAATAGCTGCCTTAGACATGATGAGGTACACAACTAGTATTTAAGATACTATTTAATATGCCCCATAAATGTCTTCAGTGTTCTTCAGGGTAATTGGGATCTCAGAAGATTTGGTTCAGATCCAAACAAATACACGTTCTGTGTTTTAGCTCAGTGTTTTTTTAAAAAAGAAACTGCCACACAGCAAAAAATTGTTTACTTTGTTGGACAAACCAAATCAGTTCTCAAAAAATGACCGGTGCTTATAAAAAGTTATAAATATCCAGTAGTTCCAAAACAAACCACCTGACCAAGGAGGAAGTCAGCTTGTGATTAGTATTTACATTGGACACCAGTTTTGTAATCACTGACTTATGTGCAAACTGGTGCAGAAATTCTATAGACTCTTTGCTGATTTCGATACCTGCTTTTTGTTTCATTTTGTTTTGTTTTGTAAAAATGATAAAACTTCAGAAAATAAAATGTCAGTGTTGAATAATTAAAAAAAAAAAAAAACAATGGCAGTGGGCTTGTACAAACTTTCCATGACTTTCCATGCCCTCTTTTCCAGGCTTAGTCAGATTCAGTCACACTTATGCATTTGTAAATTCTTCAGCTCTTAAGGAAGTATAATAAGTGGCCCTTATAAAATCTTTCTCTGTGTAACTATTTAAGCTGCCCAATGGCACAGTGATGGGGAGGCAAGAATCGGAAATGAGGAATTTGCTATGTTCTGAATGTTTATGCCCTCTCAGATTCGGATGTTGAAATCCTCACTGCCAAGGTGATAGTGTAAGGAGGTGGGGCCTTTTGGAGGTGACTAGGTCATGGTGGCAGAGCCCTCATGAATGAAACTAGTGCCTTTATAAAAGAAGCCCAAGGGAAACCCCTTCCACTTTGTGAGGTGAGAGAGATGATGGCTGTCTATGAAGAAATAGGCCCTCACTAGATATTGAATCTGCCTGCACCTTGATCTTAGACTTCCCAGCCTCCAGAACCGTGAGAAATAAATTTCTGTTATTTAGAAACCACCCAGTCTATGATATTTTGTTATAGTCACCTAAATAGACTAAGACAGGATTCATAGAATTTAAGGATAGCAGGTAGATTCTTTCATTCATTTCACAAATTTTTGTCAAGTTGCTACTCTGTGCCTCATACTCTATACTAAGTCATATAGTCCTATCCTCTTATGAAGGGGGCCTGCCCCTCCACACCTGTGGGTATTTCTCATCAGGTGGGACAAGAGACTGAGAAAAGAAATAAGACACAGAGACAAAGTATAGAGAAAGAACAGTGGGCCCAGGGTACCAGCACTCAGTATATGGAGGACCCGCACTGGCGCCGGTCTCTGAGTTCCCTCAGTATTTATTGATTATTATTTTTAATATTTTAGTGAGGGGAGTGTAGCAGGGCAACAGGTGGGGAGAAGGTCAGCAGGGAAACATGTGAGCAAAGGAATCTGTATCATGAATAAGTTCAAGGAAAGGTACGTGCCCAGATGTGTATGTAGGCTGGATTTATGTTTTTCTTTACCCAAACATCTCAGTGTAGCAAAGAGCAACAGAGCAGTATTGTTGTCAGTATATCTTGTCTCTAGCCACAGGGCAGTTTTCTCCTATCTTAGAATAGAACGAATGAGAATGGTCGGCTTTACACCGAGACATTCCATTCCCAGGGAGGAGCAGGAGACAGAAGCCTTCCTCTCATCTCAACTGCAAAGAGGTCTCCCTCTTTCCCTACTCCTCCTCAGCACAGGCCCTTTACAGGTCTCGGGCTGGGGGATGTAAGGTCTTTCCTTTCCCACGAGGCCATACCTCAGGCTGTCTCAGTGAGGGGAAACCTTGGACAATACCCAGGCTTTCTTGGGCAGAGGTCCCTGAGGCTTTCCGCAGAGCATTGTGTCCCTGGTTAATCGAGAATGGAGAATGGCGATGACTTTTACCAGGCATACTGCCTGCAAAGGTATTGTTAACAAGGCACATCCTGCACAGCCCTAAATCCATTAAACTTTGATTCAATACAGCACATGTTTCTGTGAGCACAGGGTTGGAGCTAAAGTTACAGGTTAACAGCATCTCAAAGCAGAAACAATTTTTCTTAGTACAGATCAAAATGGAGTTTCGCAGGCGCCCGCCATCACGCGCCTAGCTAAATGTTTCTTGTTTTTTTTGTATTGTTTTAGTGGAGACGGGGTTTCCCCAATGTTTAGGCCAGATGGTCGTCGGTCTCCTGACCTGCGCTGATCCACCCACCTTGGCTCCTGGTCCAAAGTGCTAGGATATACGTGTGAGGAGCTCCAGCCCACCTGGCCTTTTATTATTATTTTATTTATTTATTTATTTAGAGACAAAGTCTTCTCTGTCGGTCCAAACGGAATGCATGGAATGATCCTGACTCACTGCACCCTCCACTTTCTCCAGTTTCAGCGATTCTCATTCCTTAGCCTCCTGAGTAGCTGGAATTACAGGCACCTGCCACCATGCCTGCCATTTCTTTGCAGTTTTTAGCAGGGACAGGGTTCGCAGGCCCTTAGCACAAGTTTGGTCTCAAAGTTCTGACGCTCAAGTGATTCTTCTCCGCTGCAGCGCTCTCCAAATGCTGGGCATTATAAGGCAGAAATGAGGCCACCGGCCGCTGGCTTCTCCAGCTCTTTTATTGTTCCTGGCAGTGCAGTCCCCAGCACTCGGTGCTCATTACTCTCTTCCTGCCTGGCCTCCACGTGGCTGGCCTGAGGGTCCTTGGGGTCTGGCATTGGAGGTGGGGAGATCCTCTGACTATTCCCTTCTCACTCAAGTTCCCTGACCCCAGCGGCCCCATTGTGCACACTGACCACAGTGATCTGCGTTCTGGAGGGAGGAAGGGGACTCTGGAGACCAAGGTGAGTGTTGGGGGTGGGGCTCCTGCCACTTGTGTTTCCATCTCCTCCCATGCCTGTCCCTCTCCTTTTTCCTTCTGTTGTCCTCCAGAACTCGGACTCAGCTCCTACCCGCCACTCCTCCTGCCCCTGGACCTATCTCACCTAGCCTCCTAGCCTCAGATTGGGCTAGCCTGCAGGAGTGCTGGCCCACACTCTGTCCCAGCCCAGCCCTCCATCTGCAACGCCCAGGATGGGGCTCACTGATGCCTGTGTCTCTCCTCATCAGCAGTCAAGCCCCTTTCAAAAGCCCCCTTTATACTGGCCCCATATCTCCCCAAACCTA